TTCTTTTGTCAATGGCCTATTTTAAGGAACCTGAAGCTGCTGTTGTAATTAACTCAGGCAAGTGGCAAGAAAATTTGCGCTCTTTTTTTCCCTTTGGGGAGCGGGATATTATTAAATAAATTTGAGCAAGTACAACTTAGGAAGGACAAAGGCAAAATGGACTGCTAAATTGGCCACACCCACCCAATCACATAACCAACTAGCCAGGCCCACCCAGACTCTTTCCTTCCTAGGAGTCTCCCTCCCATGAGACAATATCTGATTAGGGATTTTTAAATAAAAAACTAACTATAATCTGTCTTCTTGAACTCTTTGCTTGGGAATTAGAAAACTCTTACCCAGAGAGACCACATTCCTGTAGTTTTCAAGCATGACTTCCGAATGCAGCGCTTTCTGATCAGAATCCAGCTGAGACCATTCCTCCTCAGAGAAATACACAGCCACCTCCTCGAAGGACACGAGACTCCCCTGAACATGGAAAAAAGAACGGAACAGGAGGATTCACAAGATCTGTTCATCTTCATTAATGATTTAGGCAAAAGGATAGAAGGGGAGCTCATTAAATTTCCACATAAGATCAAATTGTTGTGGCGAAAGTATGACACATGTGCCAGAGGCGGCACACAGAGCTGTCTCTGTGGCACGCACGCCATCACCAGCTTTTCTCTGGTTTCTGCTCCACAGAGCCCTCTCTGTGGACATTCACCAGCCAGCTGGTCTTTGCAGGCGTTGGAGCAACAAAAAAAAATGGCCCCAAAAATAGCCAAAAAAGAGGCTGGTTTTGGCCTGAAAAAACGGCTTGAAAATGCCCCCCAAAAGGCCTGGAAAACACCTCCCCCAAAACAGCAAAAAACAGCCAAAAAACAGGGATGCACGTACCAGCCAGCTGGTCTTTTCAATGCTCAGGCACGTGCACATGCACGGACATGCCCGCCCATTCCAGTTTGGGCACTCGGTGCCGAAAAAGTTCACCATCACTGGAATAGGTCATATCTGGCTCAATAATAGAAAGTGCAACAGGGATCTTGGAGTCCTAGCGGACAATCACTTAAAGATGAGCCAACAGTATAGCTACAGTTGCCAAAAAAATTCCAATGCAATCATAAGCTGCGTTAAGAGAGGGATTTAATCAAGATCAATGAAGTGTTAGTACCACTTTATGATGCCTTGATAAGACCACACTTAGGGACATTGTATCCAGCTTTGGTTGACAGATGTAAAAAAGATCTTGAGACTCTAGAAAGAGTGCAGAGAAGAGCAACCAAAATGATTAGGGTCCTGGAGGGTAAAACATATGTTTGCTGGAATTGGGTATGTCTAGTTTAATGAAAAGAAGGACTGCGAATGACATGATGGCAGTGTTGCAATATCTAAGGGGCTGCCACAATGAAGAGGAGCACAAACTATTCTCCAAAGAACTTGAAGGCAGTACAAGAAGCAATGGATGGAAACTATTCAAGGAGAGAACCAACCTACAACTAAAGAGAAATTTCCTGACAGTGAGAATAATTAATCAGTGGAATGACTTCCCTCCAGGAATTGTGGGTGCTCCAACACTGGAGGTGTTTAAGAAGAAATCGGACAGCCATTTAACTGCAATGTTATAGGGCTTCTTGTCTGAGCAGGGGGTTGGGCTAGAAGACCTCCAAGATCCCTACCAACTCTGTTACAGTATTCTGCTCCATTGTTCCCAAATTTCCAAAGCGAAGTTATGCACTACGTTAAATGGCTGTGCTTCACACAAGTCCTAATTTTAATTTTAGGTGAGAAAATGGACAATTCTGAACATTTGTTTGAAGAAATATTTGGGGCAAGATTTATCAAGTTGATTGATTCTGCAGAATTTACAGTGCCTTTCAGTAAAGTAATCCCACTTCTGAATCAACTGATCTATCACTCTGTCTATCATTAATTGACCTAGAAGTCTGAGCCATTGGCTGAATAAAAGAAAAGAAGGGAAAATTCTCTGCAAAGGTCGTTTCTCAGCCTTTGCAAATTTGGTCTCCTAATCCAGGCACAAATCAGAGGATTGGAAATTATTTTGTAGCCCAAAGTATCCTGATTAGATACTCTACATGGCCATTCTCTTTGGATTTTAAAATTGTTTTATTTTTTATATAATTTGCTTATTTTTTGAACTACTGCTTATGAACAAGGCTTTTTAAAACTGGTAATGTGGCAATGTGAGTATTTAGTTATTTTTCATTAGCCTTGCACAATTCCAAGTCCAAGAATTACAAAAAGAACGGGTCTCAAGCAGTTACTACTACAGTGATATGTTTATTGCTATTTCTTGAAGGACTTGTTAAAAAATTCTAAACTCATAATTGGAGCAGTATCTAGCAGAACCAGTTAACCTGTGGTCTTTAAAAAAGAAGTTCCTAAACAGAATCTGAGAGTAGAAATGACAAACCATTGTGTCCCAGGAATAATCTACAGAGGAAGCTATGCTGGTTAAGAGCAACCTGAACCTGCTATTATGCTGTCCAAGTTGCACAGGAACACAAAAATCATCCAGTCCAAACAAGAGGGAAAATAGAAGGAGAAAGAACTCTGCACACCCATTTCACTGCCTCAAGGAAAGGAGAATACTAATGTAATATTTTTTCTCTTTCTTACTTGATTTGGAGGATCAACCGCTGTTTGAGCTCCATCATAAAAAACGGAAAACTTCATTCTTTGTTTCTCTGTAATTATAAAATAATTTCAAAACGCATATTTAAGAAAATAAGAGAAATACTACAGAAGAGAAGACGATAAGGCAGATGAGATCTTTCTGGGTAATCAGAGGAGCTTGGATTACCTTTTGAGATGTCCTCACTTTGATCTTCCCAAGGGATCCTCCTGAAAAATAGCTCCTGAGGGCGATGTGATGGATTCTTCTTTCCCTCAGGATCTCTGATCTCTACAGTGCAGCACTTCAAATAAGAGGAAGGAAAAAAAGAAGCAGAATTAATGTACATCCACACGACATAAAGTGGATTCTTATATCCGGAACACAACCTCAAACCCCCAATATCCAACCATGTGGTTGAATGAGAAAACAATGGAACAATGTCCTACAAGAATTGGTGGGACATTGCCCCATATTATGAATGTCAGAGAAGTTTGGGGGAAGGAGGGGTGAAGTATTCAAAAATATTCTCTATTCCCTTCTGAGCTCCCTAAAGTATCTCACCTGCAACTTGACGTGCTCCTTCTGCTCCTCCGCCTGGCTCAGGAGGAAGCCTTCTGCGAGGGCCACCGCCTGGGAGCTGGTCTCTACTCCACACTCCCGCACCCAGCCCTCCATCCCGGGGGGCAGAAGAGCCAGGAACTGCTCCAGAACAACCAGATCCAGCATCTGGGCTTTGGTGTGCTTTTCTGGTCTCAGCCATCGCCTACAAAAGTCGTGGAGTCGGCTGCAAAGTCCTCGGGGACCCTCAGCCTCCTGGTATTGGATGAGGTTCCATGGCTGAACTTCTGTAGGGAGGATGGTTTCCTCCTCAAGGATCTCCTGATCAGGTCTTGTACAGAACTTCCCACCCTTCCCAGGCTGAACAGCTGAAGGGCCTGTTCCGCTTCCCTCCTTTGCAAAAGGTTGTGTCTCCATTCTTCCTGTTATGCAGAGCAACTCCAAATGGGTCCAAGGACTCTTGTGCATCTCCAGATGCCTTTTCCTTCACAGGACCATTTCTGGGGCCGCAGGACGGATCCCTGCAAGTTATTCTGCTCTCCCCAAGAGAAAATGTTGGCTTGCAAAGATTTCAAATGGTTTCGAGTTTCTGTACCTGGGATGGAAAGAAAAACAAACGCCAAGAATTAGAAAGTGGAATTCAGACCCTGAACCACCTTCATCCAACCTGCCCGGAGCCCCAAGCCGCTCATCCTAGTGCAGGACCCAGGTCCCCTCCAAGCAGGGCGGGGAATAAGGCAGCTGGAGAGGCCGTCCCGCTTCTCTCCCCTTCCGGAGACAGGAACGGGCCCGCGGGGAGCCGGGTGCGAATCCTGCCTCCTCCTCGCCCGGCTTCTCTCCTCTCATGCTGGGCCTCCGCAAAGCCGACCCTCCTCTCCCCCCGCCTTCCTCTGCATGGAGAGGGCGGCTGGGGAGCATGGGACCCTGGAAGAGGCCGCCCCCCCCCCACTTCACTCGTGGTCGTCTGGGTATCCACCCACCAGAACGCCGCAACCTCTCCGGCGCCTGCAGAGCACAGGGATTAAAGCTAGCGACTGTACTGTCCTAGAGTGGCAAGCGTTTGTGACGTCACTTCCTTCAACGGCCTCCCTTAAAAACCCAGTTGTGACATTCGCCCTCCAGTGGACCAGTGGAGGAAATGCCTGATGTTCCCTTCTCTTGGCGGAGGGCGCCCCCTTGTGGATTTGGCGCAAACTGCCAGGATTATAGTAGGAGCGGGTCTGAGGGGGGGAGAGGGCAGGGATGACGGGCATGGGAGTAGGAGGAAAGACCACTCTCAATGCCTCCATGGTTTCGGGGTCTCCAGAGACGGCAATTTCTCCATCTTCTCCTCCTTCCTGTGCAGGGACCATCTGTGGAGATGGAGAAAAATATCTCTGGAGGATTTGAACTCACTTCCTCAAGAGCAACTGCCCTTGAAGGCTCCCTAAATATCAGAGGAGGCTCCAAAATCCTGTCAGAAACAATTGGGCAGTCAGAAGGACCAGAAGGCTGTCTGGGAAATCCAACTTCTGTCTTGCTGTTGTTCGGAACTTCGATGTTACTGTGAAGGAAGACAGAAAACAGACACAAAAACCACAATCAGGAAAATGTTTATTGATTTCTTTAATTCAATACATATGGTGCCCTTCTAAAATTATTCACAGCCTCACATTGAAGGGGGAAAGCAGAAAGGGGAGAGACCCCTCCAGCCTCTTCTGATGAACACCCCGGGGGACCCATTTCTTCCGCCCGACTCTAAAGAAAAAGAAAACCAGTTCCAAAATGGAGGAATGCTGAAAGCTGAGTTCGATTTGACTGCCTCATGGTGAATTCAGTCATTAATCTTTCTCAGGTCCATAAAATGAGGACCTAGATTGCTGGGGACAATATGCTGACTTTGTAAACTGCTCAAAGGCTGCTATAAAGCTTTGTGGAGTGGTATATAAGTCTGAAGTGGAATTGCTATTGCTATATACTTTCTTCCTAGCGTGGATCCTTTTATGAGAAGTCAGATTACCATTCTGAGCAAAGCTCTTTCCACACTCCATGCATTTATATGGCTTCTCCCTTGTGTGGATTCTGTTATGAGAAGTAAGATATTTCCTCTTAGTAAACATCTTTCCACACTCCATACATTCAAATGGTTTCTCTTCTGAGTGAATCTTTTTATGGGAAGCAAGATAACTGTCTTGAGCAAAAGTCTTTCCACACTCCATGCATTTTAATGGCTTCTCCCTTGTGTGGATCATTTTATGGGAAATAAGATTATCTCTTCGTGCAAATGTCTTTCCACACTGCATGCATTTATACGGTTTCTCCCCTGTGTGGATTTTTTTGTGCATAGTGAGTCTATTGTTCAGAGCAAAGGTCTTTCCACACTCCATGCATTTATATGGTTTTTCTCCTGTGTGGATTGTTTTGTGGTTTCTAAGTCCATTGCTATGAATAAAGGTTTTCCCACACTCCATGCATTTATATGGTTTCTGTCCTGCTGCTTGAAGAGACTGGGCTACGTCGGCTACAGGTGCTTCTGAACACCGTTTCTCCCCAGTGTGAATCCTTTCATGGGAAGTGAGTTGCCTGCTTGTTCTAAAATGTTTTCCAGATTCCAAACATTTATAAAGATCCTTTTTTGTGTGAACCACTTTTTGAGATGTAAGGGAGTTATTTCCAAGAGAATGAATGAATGTCCCATTGTAATTTTGTCCG